CATTTTACATACAAAATTATATACCATGAATAAAATTCGAAGGTGCACCTTTCCTCTACAGCTACGAATGCATCCGTATGCCAACTGCACCCTACTAAAAAAGATAGGGAAAATATAAAAGTGAGTATTAATGACCAAAACAAGTTTTAATCTTTACAATAATGTAAAGAATATTTAAAAATACATTATAAATCAAATTCCTTAATTTTGAGAATTTTTATATTTTTTTTTGAATTTTTTTAAAAAATACCGATTGATCACCCTAACCGCCCAAACCCGGAATCAACCACTGGCCGGTTCCGATCTAACCGGGCAGTTAGCAGTTAGATTGGGCGATTTTACGAACAATGCGTCATGGAATGATGTTGGCTCTTTATTTTCAACTATCAAAATATGCAAAGTATTTGGATCCATATAATCTTTGTGCCGCCCGGGTGCACGAGTTTCTCAGTAGAGCGCCTATGTGCCAAAGGCACAACTTCATCATGAAGATCATATGGTTCTTCATCTTAACTTCCTAGTTCTTCACCATGATCAATGGGTATATTCTCATAAGGCATAAATGTACTTGGTGGAAGTGTTTTGGGGCTGCGTTGAAATTCTTGGCTCTCTTGTTGCACTGATTGACCATCGTCCTTTATCATCATCCCTTTTGCCAATACCTTATATTCATCAAAATGCATATCACGACTAGTAATTATTTTTAAAGTACTTGGATCTCATAACCGGTACCCCTTCACACCTTTGCTATAACGCACAAAAATGTACTTTTTTTACTTTGGATCGAATTTGTTCCTTTGGCAACTTGGAATAAGCGCATAAGCATCACAACAAAAAATTTTCAAATTGGAGTAATTACTCGGAGTTCCATACCATACTTCATTAGGAGTTTTGCTTCTCAATGCTACCGAAGGTGATCAGTTGATAAGATAACAAGCCATTGATACGGCTTCCGCCCACAATTTTTGTTCTAGGCTAGCATTGCTTACCATGCACCTCGCATGCTCGAACAAAGTGCGATTCATCATCTCGGATACACATCTTGTTGAGGATTGTAGGCATTTGTATAATGGCTAGTAATTCCTTCGGCCTTGCAAAAACTTTCAAACTCCTTTGATATAAACTCTCCATCATTATCGGTTCGAAGAACTTTGATGTGATGCACCATAAAGTTCTTGAATGCACAAAACACATCACTTTTGGACTTGAGAGTTTTGATACATACTTTTCTTGAGAAGTCATCAACAAATGAAACAAAATATAATGCACCGCCATAAGATGTAGTTGGTAAAGGGTCCCATATATATGAGTGAATGTAATCAAGTTTGCACACTTGCTTGTGCTTCCCGGTCTTGAAAGGTTGTCTGTGTTGTTTCCCATAGACATAATGCTCACAAAAATCGAATCCATCGATTTTAAGTGTAGGAATAAAATTCCTCTTCATCAAGACCTCCATACCCTTATCACTCATATGCCCCAATCTTTTATGCCATAGGCGATATGAAACTTCCTTACCTTTAACCACAGAATTCACTTCATCATTTATTATTTGTGCTTCCCAATAACTTATACGAGCTCCCAAGTAGGACTCATTTCATAATAATTAGAGCCCCTTTTGATACTTTGATAACTCCACCTTGACCGGTGAACTTATAACTTTCTGAATCTAGAGAATAGAGGGAAATCAAGCTCTTTTTTAGTATCGGCACATGCCTAACATCTTTAATTGCCCAAATAAACCTATTGAACATCTTTAAGCGAACCGAATCCATTTCAACCACCTTGTTAGTGGAATTGTTTCCCATGGATATCGATCCTCGTTCACATGACTCATACGAGTCTAACCATGATCTATGAGGGCACATGTGATGAGTGGCTCCACTATCAATTATTTAATTTTGATATAATATTGAATTATATGCCACTATTAATACTTCATCTTCAGTGAAACTGGATGTAGTCTCTTCAACTTGATTTGCTTCATTCTTAGATTCATTTGGTTTTTCACCTCCCGTATTAGGAGCTTTGGAAGAATTTATTCCATTTCTCTTAAAATAATTCTTTCGTATATGACCGGGTTTCCCACAATGGCAACACACATACTTGTTATTAGGCTCTCTAGATTTTAATCGAAATTTTGAATGATTCCTTGATGAATCACCCTGTTCATTCGATCGACCTCTTGCCACAAGAGCTTCCGTCTTCGATTTTACCGAACTACCCAAAGATGCTTTCTTTTGAAGTTCATCAACAAGTAGGGCATTACACACCGAGCCAAATCAAGAGAATCCTCTTTACTACAACTCAATGTAGTAACAAAGTTATCATAGAATTCCGGCAATGAACAAAGCACGGTGATCGCTTTGTCTTCATCATCCATTTTCACACAAATACTCTCAAGTTGACAAATGAGGTTATTAAACTCATTCAAGTGCTGCGACACATTTGCACCTTCTTTTATTACCAAGATATACAATTTTTTCTTTAAGAAAATTCAGTTTGCGAGAGATTTTGTTTGATACAAACTTTCTAATTTTTTTCACAAATCCTTTACTGTATTTTTGTCATCGATATTAAACAAAATCTTGTTCGCTAAATACAAACGAATAGTGGCTCGTGCTTTCATATCGAGTTCATCCCAATCATCATTGATCATATTTACCAGTTTCTTATCTTTTCTAAGTAATGCTTTGTGTTGCCCTTGATGTACCAATAAATTTTGTATTTTTAATTTCTAAATTTCTAAACTATCTTGCCTATTAAAGTTCTCCACTTCAAACTTGTGAGATGCCAGTTTCCCAAAAAGTACTGCACTAATTCCTTGAGCTTTAATACCAGTTGTTGTATAATCGAGAAAACTCAATCTTCCCGTTCACCAATTTGGGATATCTCAAATCCCACTTTTCACATTCAAATAATATTCTCAAGATGCACTAACGAGTGCAATATAATTGGAAAAAAATATAAGAACAATAAAACAAGCGATATGAGAAATCATCAAAGCTTAACACAAATAAAAGTAGAGAGTGACACACACATATACATGATTCACCCAAGATGGGCTACGTTCATAGGCAAGACGACAAATGTGTATTCACTTTTAAGAGGAAAAATTACAAGATTGAAGTTATGCAGAGTTACTGTATACAACCTTAAAGAATGCTACAATACATAATTTTCTGCCATAAAACTATCTACAGTAGATTACTTTCTTCGATTCACTACATCTACGAAAAAATGCCGACAAAATGGCTCAAAATAAGCTCCAATAATTGATACTAGGGTTTTTACAATGAAACCCCCAATTTTATACTCTCGCAAAACTTTCTATATTTGTTTACCATTTTATTCCCTTTTAATAATCTCATGCTCGCGCACCTTTTTCACGCTTACGAGCACCTTGTTTTCTCTCGCACTTACATCTCTCTCTAAAACCCCTTTAACGGCCTCCACTCGAATGGGGTATTTTTCAGTAACGAAAATACCCTTAAACAAAAGGGTAATGCCAAAGGGGGGGATGATTTGGCGTCACGCCTCCCGCATTTATTGCGTCCTACCTGTGCGGCCAACACAAACTCGTGCGGCATTTACTACCTGCGCGGGCGATTCATCCATTTTGCCATTGCAAAATAACTCTCCCCCTCTCTCTATAAAAAGGCTCTTCTTTCTCTTTCTAAAAGTCGCTGAGAGAACTGAGTTCCCTGCGCTGAAGCCTGTATGCTCAAAACTATTTCCTACTGTCTCTCTAATTATAACCCTAATTAAGGCAAACTGTCTACTGCAGCTGTATTGTCGAAGAAGTTTTCGAGTTGACGTCCCCAGAGTTGTCTTCTCTCTCCGTTGCACAATGAAGCCTAGACGCTCTTCATTTCTTAAACCGGGCCAATTGTGAAACCTAGTCAGGGCAAAGGGGTCTTTACAGTGGAGGCAGGGAACAGATTCAAAATGAGCCCTATTCAGAACTTGGAGCAACATTCAAGGCGCCTCCTTGAGCCCGATCTTAGTATCCTTATACTGATTTTTTCTGTTTACTAATGTCTTGTTTTCTTCGTATTCTTATTAATTTGGGTGTTTATTTTCTTGTGTATATGTGACTATGGAGGGTGTTTTGTTTGTGAATTTATCGTTTTTAGGCTTAAAAATAGTAGAACACCGTTTAGTTCTTCATATAAGTAATTTGTTCCAATCACTTTATGGTTTTTTCAATTTGTTTCAAGTTGTTGTCATGCACAAACACAGACACAATTTACTGTTTTTTGTTGTTATATACATATTCTGCTTTATCTGTGATTTTTGGTTTTTTTTTTTGGTATAAGACTATAATTTAACTGTTTTGTTGATTGAAAGTAGCAGATTGCTGTTCTATTTTGTGTTATAAGTAATTTATTGGAGTTTTCAATTGCTGCTTGTTTTGAATTTGTTCTTTTTATGTGTTCTCACTGTTGTCTTGTTTCATAGTTGGGTTTGGAAATTTTTCGTTTCCTTATTTGTTTTTGCCATTCATTTAGCATTAACTGCAGTTTTTCGTCCGTTTTGGATGTTAAATTTTTTAGTTTTATTTTTTTTGAATCAAAACAAAGATTTTTAGGTTTGGTTACGGAGGAGAAACTTTGAACTTAGGTATTTATCTTCCTCTTTTTTATTTTCCTTTACTTTTTATGAAGCAAATTTGCATAAAATGCTTGTGTTTATGCGTTAAAGTTTTCAAATTCGTCTATAGTAGTTATGCTTGCCTTCTCACTGTGTCTCCCCCTTTTCCATGAATTTCCTTTACTGTTGATCCTCCAGCTATGCCAGTGCGGCTTACAATGGCCACAGAGGTTCGCGATAGCCTCGAGATTGTGCACTCCTCAGAGTACCTGAACTTCCTCAAATGTTATTTCAGGGTTTTCTCAACGATTTTGACTCAACTTACGAAACCCCAATTCGCAGATAGCATTGAGCACAAAGTTCGCAATGTTATTGTGGAAATCTTGAACAGGCTCCCCCATAGTGAGGTCCTCAGGCCATTTGTGCAGGATCTTCTAAAGGTTGCCATGCATGTGCTTACAACTGATAATGAGGAGAATGGGCTCATCTGTCTTCGCATCATATTTGATTTGCTTAGGAATTTCAGGCCAACATTGGAGGCGGAGGTTCAACCTTTTCTTGACTTTGTGTGCAAGGTTTGATTTGTTTGTTATAATATATGCTTCTTTTTGGCTTTTGCTAAGTTATAGTCAGTCTGTGTTTCATTTGGTTTCTGTACTTTGAAATTCCCTATCAAAGCATTACTTGA